TCAAGGTGTTTCGTGGCAAATACTCCCAGAATTGGAAACAAAGGACCTGGAGAGCCAAAATGCTATTTTGAAGGACATATTCATGGTAGAGGAATTTCAGGCATCACAAGCCGGCCAGAAAGGGGGCATTTGGGGACAGGAAGGCTGAAGAGAAGCCCACACACAGGACTGCCTCTTTGGAAGGCCTCAGCGCCAGCTCTTCTTTGCTCTGGGTTCCAGGTCAGCCCCTTGGTCCTACACAGCTTTTTGGCCTTCCATGGGGGGACCCTCACATGCAACCCCACTTCACTAGCTGTTGCCCCCCGGAGGCTTCTCCTTTCCCTCTGTCATAGACAGGCTTTGCAGATGTTTTGCTCCTCAGATCCCACGTTCATTTTAGTCTTTGGTGCCTTCATGCCCTGGTCAGCAGGGGTGGGGGTAGAGGTGTGCTGGGCTGTGCTTCGCCCTCTGCCAGGGTCTGGTTCCCTCCTGCAGGCACCTCAACACTGCCTGGGAGGGCCGCCATCTAGAACGAGCTTGGGCTTTTTCCCTGGCTAGGGATCATCCTTGAGCCCCAGCCCTGACTGTTTTCAGACCTCCACCAATGCTCTGCCCTGGAAGAAGTGGCTTCATCCGGGGCAATCTGCCCATAATCCTCAGCTGGGAAAGACCTAGGAACCCCCTCCTACTTTCCCTGCAAAGTCACCATAAGCAGCTGACTGTCAGCTCTGCAAGGCGCAAGCTGAGCCTACTTCCTTTCCCTGTATCTACCAGTGCCTATTATGTAGTAGGTGCTCAATAAACGTGTTGAATGAACAGATCAATGAATGAATGAGTAGCAACTTGGCTCCTTGTTAATTTTCAGCAGGGAATGCATTGTGTGTCTATCATATTCCACAATGGAAAGACAGTCTAGTGCCTGGTTAAATAGACCTTGGAGTAGGCAGCCTGGGTTTGAATCCCAGCTCTGCCACTTACTAGCTTAAGACTTTGGCAAATTACACAACCTCTGTGCCTTTTTTTTTTAACCTGGAATGTCAGGGTTATAATAAAACATACCTTGTAGGGTTGCTATAGGGAATACGTGAATTAATACAGATAAAACATGTGTAGGACAAGGGCCTGGCATGTAGGGAAGGCTCAGTAAATCTTGGTTGTTATCACCAGTAGTTTGGGATAGAAAGTTCCCAGGGGGCTGGACCAGTTGAGGAAAGGTCCTATGGAGAAGTGCAGTGTGGAGGAGGGGCTGGGAGGGGCCTAGGCTAAAAGAGGGGGCACACAGGGCCACCAGGTTACGGGTTGTGGGGAGGTGCGCACCAGGGTGCAGAAGGCCATGCAGAGAGGTGCCTTGCCAGTCCAGATGGGGTACTGTACCTAATGAAAGGTCACTCCTTACCTCTCAGGGTCCCGGACTTTCCAGTTCTATTGTAGCTCCTGGAAGCCATCTTGGTAGGAACAGTGTCCTTCCAACGCCATTTGCTGAGGTTGTGCAGGAAGGCAAGAGTGATGGGGAGCTCCCAGAGTGATGGAGAGCTCTTTGGGCCCTGAGAGAGGACTAGGAATCTCTGATGTTCCCATCTTTGGGCTGATTCTTTGGGAAATGAAATTAACCCTCTATCTGTGATCGCCAACCTGAAGACCTGTGGATCCTTTAGAAAAACTAGACATCAATTCATGCTTGACTCGCCCAAATGGGACACCACGAGCTGGTGTGAGCTAGGGTTCTGTAAGAAGTGATCAAAGGATGGAGGCAGGGTCCTTGGGGAGCATGGCCTGAGGACAGAACCTTCAGTTTTGGCTGCAGGTGTGTGCTCACATCCCCTAAATGCAGACTTACAATTTCCAGAAATCACCTGGTATCTCTGCCTCCACACAGTCCCTCCTACCTCCATTCCCACCCACAGCCCTGCCTGGCCACCTCCTATTCATCCCGCATGACCCAGATGTTGCCTCTTCTGGAAAGTCTTCAGGTCCACCCTGGTCAAGTGAGTGCTCTGCTCCAGGCTTCTGTAGCACCCTGTCCGTCCCATCGGCAATTTCATGCCACTGAATCACAACCATCTGCAATTTGTTCTTTTCCTAGTGAGCTCCCTGAGGTCAGGTACTGGGTCCCTTTCATCTTTGCATTCCTGTTCCTTGGCATCATGTCTGGCAGACAGTCAGCATCAATAAATGTTTTTGAGGAATGAGTGGAGGAGCTGGGCCAGTACCGTGCACAGAGAGGGGAGTGAGAGCAGGAGCACAGGCAAACATCAGGAGCAGCCGAGCTACTCCCAGTCGCCTCCTGCCCGCTCCCCCAAGCAGGCTCACTGTGACTGGTAAGCAGGCCCAAGGTTCTGCCTCATCACTAACATGTCTCAGATAAGCTAGGAGCAATGCCTCCTCTCTCCCTGTCCATCCCTCCTCTTCTTCCTGGCAGGAGGGGCTGCTTCCCAAGTATCCTTGAAGGCATGCCGAGAGGCAGGGCAGGAGGGAGATGAGGGGGAATCTCATGAGCAATGAGGCCATTTGGTGGACACTGGGTATAGACAGGAGCCACAGTATTTGGGGGACCAAATGTATAGACAGTAACAAGGACAGTCACGTTCCTAAGGAGAAAGATTGGCTAGCAGATGGCCCTGGGACCTAAGGACTGACTTGTTACAGTAGAGGGGACCTGGGTTGATGACTCCTCAAGTTTGTCCTCTTTCCACAACTCCCTGGGTGTCTGAAGCTTAGAGTGAAGCAGTTCCTGCCTCGCCTAATCTGACACTAGGGAATGGGCCAAAGCAGAGTACCCACTTTCTGGATGGAAAGATTGAGACACTGGGGAGCCAAGTATCTCATTCTAACACATAGGCCTCTATTGCCACTGACAGATTATTCCACTCCAGCTTTGGGAGTCATGCTGTAAAGAATGACTGGCAGATGTCCCTGAACCCCTTCCTCTACAGACGAAGAGTGGTTAGTTAAGAATGACACTGTTGAGGCCGGGCGCGGTGGCTCACGCCTGTAATTCCAGCACTTTCGGAGGCCAAGGAGGGCAGATCACCTGAGGCTGGGAGTTCGAGACCAGCCTGACCAACATGGAGAAACCCTGTCTCTACTAAAAATACAAAATTAGCCAGGTGTGGTGGTGCATGCCTGTAATCCCAGCTACTTGGGAGGCTGAGGCAGGAGAATCGCTTGAACCCGGGAGGCAGAGGTTGTGGTGAGTGGAGATCGCACCATTTGCAGTCCAGCCTGGGCAACAAGAGTGAAACTCCATCTCAAAAAAAAATAAAATAAAATAATGACACTATCAACTGTCATCTGATGGGCCAATGAGAGAGGCTGGTGCATGGGATGCACTAGTGTCACAATCTTTTCCACTCCAATCCTCCTAACAATCACCCTGTTCTAACCTTCAGGGCCATCTTGGCCCCTTCCCCAGCATTCCTCCACTTGTGACCTGGGTCTGTGAAGTGCCTCCTATATCCTTCCCCTCTTGCAATCCCACAACCACTATTCCCACCCAGACCCTGGTTATGTCTCACTGAGATACAGCACATGCCTCTTACCAGGTCCCTCAGCTTCCAGTTCCTCCCACTTTTGGTCTATCCTCCAAGGTTGTGCTTTCTGAAATTTACCTCTGATCATGCTGCTCCTTTGCTCAAAACCTTCGGTGGTTTCCTATTGCCTGTCAAATGCCCTCCAGGTCCCTTTGGTTGGCATTCAGAGCCCTGGCTGCTTGGGTCTCTACTCTCAGCCTTAACCTACTCTGCCTCTTCGTGATATACCCAATACCCCAAGGCCCCAGGCCTGTTCTCCATCCCTGGAAATCCCTCTGTGTCCCTCTTTGCCTGCTGAAATCTCGTCCATTTTCCAGGCCCTGTATCATGGAAAGGCCCCAGACCTCACATCAGAATGTGCTCTTTCCCTCCTCTGAGCACTCCCAGAAACCTCTCCCAGGATGGGAACTCCTCAAAGAGAGAGTGGTCTCATCTCTTTTCTAGCCCCACAGTGTGCAAAGCGCAGTCCTGGGCCCATGACAGGAATAAGAGATGTGAAGTAAGCAAATGAGCGCTAAATCTGCATCATTCAGGCAATATTCATTGAGCACCTACTGCGTGCCTAGCCCCTGCTAGGTGTAAAGGATATGACAGTGACGAGGCAAGTATGGTGCCTACCCTGTGGAGTATAGACAGCCCGTGGGCTCTAGAATGTGCTGAGGATTCACCACAGCTCCATTCACCCAGCTCCTGTGGCACCGCTGATCGCCAGTTGGCATGTGTTCAGGGAATGTCCACCATCATGACACTGGGCTAGGCTGAGGGTTCTGTGACAGCTCCTTGCAGTTGGATCCTCCCTCAGTCCAGGCCTGTGTGTCTTTAGGATGAATCAGGGGCCTTGCCTATTCACCTGCTCCGGGTCCACTCCCTGCAGGGCTCAACATGCTCCCAGCTGTCCCCATGGCTGGGAAGTCTAAGACCTCCAGATGTTGCAGGGGCTGAGAGGGAGGCCTGGCCGATCCCTAGGAGCAGTTGGCTCTGTTTGTGGAGGAGGAGCAGAGGGACTCTCTGCACTCTTTTCCTCGCCTGTTTTCTGATATGGGGATGGGAGGGAGAGGAGGAGAAAGAGTGAAAGGAGAAGGAGAGAAAGGGAAGTTCCTAGGTAAGATATTCCATCCCTGGTTCCTGTGGGTCCACAGACCCTAGCACTGAGACCTATTACCAACCAGAGGTGATACATAGTTACCACCATATAACCCAGCCCTGGCAAATCACAGTGGACTCTGGCTGAGGGCTGCAGCAGGGCTGAGGGGTGGGCATGCATGTGCCAAGTATTATCACTTTAGTTGCTGGATTGTGGGGTGCGTCAAGCATCCCCAGGGAGGAGCAGGGGCAGAAGGGGTAGGTTACTCAGAGAATCTGAGCCATGGTTATTTACTAAGAAAGAAGTATTTTCAATACTTATTTTAAATATTTTAACAGCTAGTATGACTGCATCAGTGCAGTCCAGCCTTGCTACCAGCAGTGCCCGCACAATCATATCAAATCCAATTTAAAACCATGTATTTTATTGATGTTCTTCATGGACAATACAGCAGCCATGTGTACAAATGCTACTCAAGTCTCACATCTGACACCCTCCCCGCCATCACCCCATTGACCGGTCTCAAGCAGCCAACACCCTGGAGGTCGCCCTGTTGCCCTTCCCCAGGATGTCAGGCCTCACCGTGCTGAGACTTCATGAGGCTGGAAATGGCAGGGCTGGCTTCCAAGCTTGAGCCCCGGGGTCAGGAAAGAGTCAAGGCCTAAATTGCCCAGACCTTCCCCTCCTCCCTCTTCCTCCCGTTGCTTAAGTATGGCCAGAATTGGGAGTGAAGATGCCCCCAGTGACTTCTCCATTGAGGTGGCCTAGGCTTCACCTCTTCAGCATCTCTATCACATCCTTTCTTTCCAAATGACCTGTCCACCAACCACCAAGGTGGCAGAGTGACCATTTTTCAGGGGGTGTGAATCAGTGCCCAGGAGGCAGTGGCAAGGTGCCCCTGATGGCATGAATCTTGTCATCCTGTTCACCACTGCATTGCCAGTGCCTGGAAGAGGCTGGGAATGTAGTTGGCAGTCAATAAATATATGTAGGATGGATGCATGAATAAATGAATGAATATGGGAGGGAGAAGTATGAGCAGGTCAAGCCAATGCTAGGGGGCATGAAGGCAGAACCACTGTCAAGTCCTCCCAAGCTCTGCTCAAGAACCGAGGGTGTTGTGCCACTCTCATAGGGATTGCTGAGGTCAGTGGTTGGACATTGCAGGGTGTGGATGCAGCACTGCTGCCCGCATGAATGTCATATTGACTTTGGGACCAGTCAGGAGGAGGCGCTTGTGTTGTCCCCACTTCCTCATATGCCCCAAGGGTCTGGTCCTCTGTTTCAAAACACACAGCAGTGCCTCCACAGGAGTTAGTCAGATGTGCAGGGATGGTCTGGGAATTGCACCCTTATATTCTGGTCATCTCCACTCCCCAGCCTTAACTCACCACTGCCCACCCCACCCCCCTTCCTCCGGCCACCAACACTGACACTGCTCCATCTCCCTTTTCTCAAATACCAGTCCCCTCAACCACCCAGATAGCCCTGTCTCTGCAGAGACTCTCTTCAGTGGCTGTTGGGTTCTGATTATCAGATGCCTTCCATGCCCACACTCCCCTCCAGGAAAGCAAATATCTCACAGGCATCTCTGCAGATCTTGCCTCTGGGTCCAGCAATCACAACCAGGACACCAGAACCTTGGGGTTGGAAGGAAGGTGTAAGCTCACCTAGAATGACCCTGTGTAGAAATCCCTTCCACAGCATGCCTGGCAGACAACTACCTAGACTCTGCTGGAATACCTTCAGTGATGGGGTACTCACTAGCTTCACAGGCAGGTAGCCATTCAAACGTTGAACAGTTTCAGCTGCTGTAATGCCCTTTGTACAGGGCATTAATGAACCCAATTGTTCTCACTTCTCCCTTTCCCCTAGACATTATTCCTACGTGTTTCTAACAACACATCTCACCACCACCTCTCTCTCTCTCTATCTCTCTCTCTCTCTCTCTCTCTCTCTCTCTCTCTCACACACACACACACACACACACACACACACACACACCCTTCCATATGGTTATACAGTTGAATGCCCCCTTCATTTATCAGTAATTCTCCTTCCCTCTCCCTTCTTCCTTGCCTTCCCAGCATCTGGCAAAGACCTGGGGGCTGGAGATCAAGTAGAAAAGCTGGAAGAGTTCCAGGGAGAGGAAGCATCCAGCCAGACCCTGGGCTGGGCTGGGCTGGCCAGGTGGGGAAAGGTGGACAGGGAGTAGCAGTTGTAAAAAGCAGGCCATTGATTGCTGTCTCCCAGAAAAGAGGTCTTGAACCTGGGATGGTGGGGGCAGGGGCAGCAAGCCACTAAATTCTTTTTCCTACAGAGGGGATGTGGACACACACCCACTCTTTCCCAACTCCCCTAGCAGTTGGCAGAGCTGACTTGGCTGCCTCTTACACGTGGTGATTTTAAATATTTGTCAGCCTCTAGGTCCCAGGGAGTCTCATACCAGCAGCAAGAATCCACTCCCCTCTCCCAACATGGAGGCTGAGAGGAAGGGCTCCAGCAGACAGCAGTGATGACTTAAACATGGTGGAGAAGGGATGAGCCAGGAAGAGGGGAAAGTAGGGGTCTCAAGGGGAAGGAACGAAAGCAGAGGCAGCCTAATGGCCAGCAGCCACGTGGCTGGCTCATGAGGAGCCTAGCAATGCCAGGGTCGACATTTTTCCTCCTTGTCATGATCCACCAGCCCACACTGTTCTCCTGGGTGGAAGACAAGGGGAAGATGCTAGGACCTTACCAGCACAAATTGTAGTGGGTAATGGGTGGAAACAAGGCTGCCGTGGTTTTATGCTCAGGAGGAGTCAAGACAGAGAGAGAGGGAGATAAATGATGGGAGTGTCTGCTACTTATCCTGCTGCTTGGAGCTCTCGCTTCCAACATTGAACATGGGAACCAGCAGGCCCAGCAGCCACCTCTTTCCGAAGACCTCTTGTAAGTTCTTGCGCCAAGGACGGGCCCTCACTGCCACCCCCTTCCGCACCTGGTGGCGGGTCTGCCCACGGAGAATCAACAGCAGCTGGTGGCAGCAGAAGCCGGCGCAGGCCAGGCCGATGGCGAACCAGAGGTAGAGCATGAGGATGACGAACATTTCAGAACCCAGGACAGCTCCTGCAGGGCAGTGGGAGGGGAAACACCAGACAGAGCCTCTTTACAGCCAGGCCACCTGCAGAACTGTGATCCAGGCAGGCTTTCCACTGGCAAGGGGGGAGATTAATGAGACTGGCACTACATTTTGTAGCAACCTCAGTGCTGCAGCTGCAGTAAGGGAGAGAAAGGAAGAACTCACTGCCCTTTTTCTTGGTGCGGATGGCACCTGAGGCAAAAGGGGAAAACTGGAGACATGGCTAAGAAGAGAGATTAGTTTGATGAGCTGGGCAAGGAGAGCCCTCAGCTCCTGGGGCAGCACCTGGCCGCTGATAACATTTCTGTAAAGTCAGGGATGACTGTCTCTCTCTGCTTTCTCCTTTTGGGCTGGAAGCAGGGCGAAGGGGTTTTGCTCAGGAGGTGAGAAGGGTGAGCTGAGGACCCTAAAGAGGGAGCAGGTACCCGGGCAGCTGTCTAGACAGCAGCACCTTCTCCCTACTGTTCTGGGAGTGCTGGCCGAGAGAACTCAGGAAACTGACAGTATGATGGAGAGCCGGGAAGAATAAGTCACGAGCTTAGTCTCAAGGGCAGCCCAGAGTGCCAACTTAGAGAATAATTCAGTCATCATTAATGTTAACAAGAGGACAGTGTGTCCACCATGGCATTCCACCAGAGCTAGTTTCATCAGTCAACGCTTGCTAGAAGAGGCCCCTAAAGTCATCAGCCCTGTGTCATGGGGCAGGATTTCCCCAGAATCCTTATAAACCAAGCACTTCCTATTACTAGTTTTAAATAACCACTGAGTAAGAGCTTCCACACTCTTCTTCAGAGTTTGGGTGTCTGGTCCATGCAAGGTTTGAGTCTCCCAGTTGTGTGGACTTGCACAAGTGTCTTAACCTCTCAGTTGCAGCTTGCTCCTCTGTACAATGGGTATAACAATAATAACAATAACGATTTCTTATGGCTGCATGATTCAAGAAAATGATGTACAGGGTGGTCAGCATCCCGATTCACACTCAGTGCGGCGCTCCCAGCAGAGGGTCATTTTACAGAGCAGGAGACCACATCCAAAATGAGTTCAGGTTTAACTCCTGAAACTATCAAGTTTTCTCCTTCTTTCCAGGGCTTAGAGTCCTGGCTGGGCTGCACTTTCGCAGCTCTGGCAAAGGACACTTACCTTGACCTACCCAGCAGCCAGGGCACTGGACCTGGAGTTAATTCAAAAGCCTTCCTTGGCCCTTGGTTCCCTCTAGGGCAACTCTGTCACCTCCTCTGGGGGTGGGGGTACCTGCTCTAAGGACCCCACCTTACAATCTGTTCTGCCCCTGAAAATCTCAATCATATTTTGCCCTTTCCCTAACCTTCTCTTGCCCCAGCCCAACTCTTCCCAAGCCTCTCCAGCCTCCAATTTCCAGAGCTCTGGGAACTGGGCTTTCAACACTTTGTCCATTCTGAGCAGTGGTGGACTCAGCAGCCAGAGAGGATGTGCATCTGATTCAGATTCTCTCATTAGCAGCTTCCTCTTGTCCTCATCCCTAGGAGCTTGGGTAGCTGTTTTGTTGTTGTTGTTGTTGTTGTTGTTGTTTGTTTGTTTTACAAAGTTGGAGACAGATAGGCCCAGCTGCCATCTAGAGCAGCCCCTCCACCAGCACAGGGGCAGCAGTGGGATGGGGCTCACATTGGGCTGTCCATCCCCTGACCCACTTCTTCCTTGTCAGCACATATTAGCTTGGGCAGCCATGTGCACAATGGAGGATCCCGGGTCCATGGTGCCCTTTGGTGTGAGGAATGCTAACAGGCAAAGATGGCCCTGGAGCTGGGATGTAAGAACATCAGAGCTGTCAAGCTTAGTCCTGCTTTGCAATGAATGCTGCCCCAGGAACAAGCCTGGGTGGATGGAAGCCATTTCCCACAGGGTTTTTTCCTGGCACTAAATCAAGGCATGAGAAAAAGACCTTGTGGCCCTTTCTTGGCCCCATGCAGCAGCTACAAAAAGGCTATTCTGGGGACCTGCTTTCTCTAAAAGTGTTTGAAGTTGCCTTACCTGGCTGCTTCAGCTCCTCTTGACTATTGAATAATAGTTCTGCTTCTTTTCAAAAATCACAGAATTTTCCTAACGTGCCTAAAAGGACACATCAGCCAATTTCCCTTGCCCCTTCCTCCCAACAAGCATCTATAACACCTTTGACAGATCATTACCCAGCATATTTTTTAGTACATCCAGGGACAGGTAGCTCCCTCCCTCTCAAAGTGGCTCATTCAAGAAACAGCTTCAGAGAGGCAGCCCCTAAGAGGCAATGTGGTGTAGTGGAAAGGCTATGAGCTTTGGAGGGTAGCAGTCCCAACTCTGAATCTTGGGTTGGAATCATACCAGCTGTGTGGCATTGGTGCAACTTAACCTTGCTGAATCTTTTATTTCTGAGCCTTAAAAATGGATATGATAATACAGACTTGTCATGAGGAATAGGTGAAACAAGACATGCATAGTGGGTGGTACATAATAGGTGCTCAATGAACATGAGTCCCCTTTCCCTCCTACTGGACTTTCTGGTAGCACCCACCATGCTGGTGTACTTACACAAATGCCAAGATACAGGTTAGATGGTGGCATCTCCATTTCCCAGATAAGAATAAGGTTAAGAGAGGTGACACAACAACCTGTACTGGTCCCACAATGCCAAAAGAAAGGACAGCTTCTGAAAGCTAACTAGCTAGCCACCTCCCACTTTGGATCAGCTGAGGGCCTCACTTTCACTTGACCCCTCCCTCTTTTAGTTCTCAAGGCCCAAACTCACAGCCATCCATGCTCTGGTGATAGATCTGACTCAGAGCTGTACCAGAGTTGGGAACAGCTCAATTTCTTTCTTTCTTTTTTTCCTTGAGACAGGGTCTTGCTCTGTAGCCCAGGCTGGGTAGAGTGCAGTGGCATCACTGCAGCCTCAAACTCATGGGCTCAAGCGATCCTCTTGCCTCAGCCTCCCAAGTAGCTGGAACAACAGGCAGTATGCCTATCTACTGTATTTGTTTATTTGTTTACTTTTGTAGCAACGGAATGTCACCATCTTGCCCAGGCTGATCTCAAACTCAATTTGTATTAAGCAACCCATGCTTCTTACTCCTCCCTGTCCACCTGTCCTCCTGAGCAGATGAGAGAGGGTGCTCTCAGCTGTTCGGATTGAGGGTTGGGGAAGAAGAGGAATGGGAAAGGGAAAGCTGAACAGGTGGGGTGTATGTTGTGGGAGGGAAAGAGGGAAGGTTGTCTAGAGGAAAGATGAAAGGTCACCAAGGATGACATGGGAGAGTAGGAGGTAAGAAGTCTTGGCTGCTTTTTCCCAGTGGGTATGCTGAGGAAGTGAAAGACACTGGAACTCATCCTTATGCTGGCACAGGAGTCTGGGCCCCAAGGTGGGCACTCACTGACTCTGTTCTCCCATCAGATCAAACTAGCACATATGGACAGGCCTCAAGCCTAGATTTATCTCAAATCAAACCATTTCAAGGTCCTCCTTCTGGAACCATCCATTTTTATGGTTGGCAAAACACTTGGAAAAGAAAGTAGAAGCAGGCTTGTTGGCTCTCCTCATCCCTCCACCTGTCTGTGCTCACACTCCACCCCCTAGCCCACCCACCCACCTTCCCCCGTCCTGGTTATTTTGGTCCCAGCAGACTCCTGTGCCAATGCTGGGATCCAGAAGGCCTGAAAGCTGTGAGTTCTGGACCCAGCTCAGCCACCAGCCCTGAAGGCAGCCCCCATAACTAGGTCTCCCCCTGCACCTCTGTGTTCCCACTGCCAAATGGCAAGATAGTTCTACGCCTGGGAAGAACTGGGCTGTAGCCACCACAAACACTGAAATGATGGCTTCCCCCAGAGTAGAGCAGAATTTTTATGAATGTTCAGCCCAGGCACCTCAAAACAATTTTGGGCTTTCAGTGGAAGTAGCTGCCCACTATCTTTCTTTGCTCCCAGAAGGCCAGCAGGTGAGGAAGCCTGCTCTATTCCCTGAGCTACTGCGGAAGAGCATCAGACTGTGGATTAAGGACCTGAGAGGCAGACCAGAGACTGCTACTCAGTAGTAGGAAGACTCTGGGCAAGACACTTAATCCCATCTGAGTCTCAGTTTCATCATCTGAGAAATGGAGGTAACATTGCCATCCATGGACGCACAAGCACATGTACTCTACCTGTTGTGGAAGCTAAGCCATTCAGAGTCAAAGGCCAGGATAGGGAGGAAGTGGAAGAAACACAGTAGGAGCCAGTATCAAGGCCAAATAAAGAACTGCCACCAGGAGCCAAGTCCTTCTAGGGCCAGGTATCAGGAAGTGGTCCTTGGTGCATACTAAAGTGCAGTCCTTTACCAGGCATGGCAGCTCACGCCTGTAATCCCAGTACTTTGAGAGGCCAAGGCAGGCAGATCACTTGAGGTCAGGAGTTCAAGACCAGCCTGGCCAACATGATAAAACCCCATCTCTACTGAAAATACAAAAATTAGCTGGGTGTGGTGGCACATGCCTGTAATCTTAGATACTTAGGAGGCTGAGGCAAGAGAACTGCTTGAACTCTGGAGGTGGAGTTTGCAGTAAGCAGAGATAGCACCACCATACTACAGCCTGGGTGATGGAGTGAGACTCTGTCTCAAAAAAAAAAAAAAAAAAGAAAAATCCCTGCTTCTCCCAAGTTCCTTCTGCTCTGAGCCATCAGCAGGCTGGAGAACAGGCTGGTAAGAGCAAACCTAATAGGCAGGAGAACAGGGCTTACTTCCTGCTAGGCTAGGCTGGCAACAAGTTCAATATTACTGCAATTGGTTGGTGAGACCTCTGGAGAGCAGAGTTCTTGGGTGACATGTGAGCAGGATCCAGGCAGAAGAAGGTCATAGTGTGGTTGAACCTCACAGGGCCACATGGAGGAAGGGCCAGCACCCAGCCCTGCCTGGCAAGGTGTATTGCCTGGATGCCACTTTATAGTATATGGACAGCATGATGGATGAGGATGATGGCGGCAAGGGGGGACGTTGCCAATAAAATACAGCATGTCCATTTAATTTGCATTTCAGATAGCCAATAGCAAATTTTCTCAGCGTGTCTCATACAATATCTGAGACATAATTGTACCAAAAAATTATGAGTGGTTTATCTGAAATTTTAATTTAGCGGAACGATCTGTATTTTTTATTTGCTAAATCTGGCAACTTTTGGGGTTGGGGTTTGGGGTCCGGCAACCTTTGGGGTGGGAGATCTTGGTGTAGAGCCCAACCTGCCTGCCAAGGCCCACTCACCGGAGAAGAACTGGCTGATGGAGGTGGGCAGGAGCGTGAGGAAGGCCAGGGGGTGGGCGAAGGAGATGGAAAGGACCGCGGAGATGTAGGCCACACCGGCCACCATGGAGTAGAGGCAGGCCAGGGAGGTGTAGAGGCAGAACAGGACGAAGTTGCGCATGTTCCTGCTGCCGATGCAGTTGCCGGTGAAGAAACAGTGATGGTCGTGCCTCAGGGTGACTCTGGCGCACACTCGGCAGAAGTGAGTGCTAGGTGAGGGGCACGGAGCCTTCGTGGCCGAGGCCCCCTGGCAGGCACCCAGGTCGTCCGGGGAGTTCTGGATGACCAGGACATAGTTGCCCAGGGCGTTGGCCGAGAGGAATAGGAAAAGCGCCCCGTGGAGCAGGGCCGGCGAAAAGAGCCGGGCGGCCGCGGGGTCCTCGCGCATGCTGGGCAGGAAGAGGAAGAGCTGCAGCACGAAGGTCACCAGGGAGATGCACAAGAAGTAGGCGGGGGCCACCACGTTGAGCAGCCGCAAGGCCAGCATCCTCGATTACATTCCTGCGGGGCCCGGGGTGAGAAGAGGACTGGCTGACTAAGGCGTTCAGGGGGCGCCCTTGCGCGCTCATCTGCGCCGCGCGTCTGGGTCGCTGCACGCGACTCCACGCCCCCAACCCCTGCCCCGCGGATTTCCCCTCCCCAGTTCCCCAACCTCGGACCAGGCAGGCCAGAGACCCCGAGCCCTCAGCGGCCTCGGGGCCAGGCCCTATCTGGCGATGACTGCTGCCTGGGGTTTTGAGCGAGCTGGGCGCCTTGGCGCGGCAGAGTCAGGCACAGGAGGGCAGGACTCGTTTGCAGTCTACGGGAGTTGTGAGGGTGGGGGGCGCTGGGGGATAGGGCTCCTCCCCTCTGTGGCTGTGGAAACAAGCCCAGGTTTGGGATTTCTGGTTCAGACCTGTCTAGGAGGAGAAAGGGAAGGATTTGGGGTCCGGGACAGAGAAATCAGAGGCATTTGACCTGCTGGAAGTCCTGCTTCACACTCCCCTTTCTCCTCCCGCGCGCCCCCACCCACACACACATTTTGGGTAACCTCACCGGTTACCCAAGGCTCTTTGGAGGTATGTGTGCGTGCGGGCCCACGATGTGTGTGTGTGTGTGTGTGTATGTGTGTGTCCTTGTGCGTGACTCTGTACGTGTAATCTGTGCGCTTGAGTATCTGTATTTGTGTATGTATATATCTGCGTGTACAGACACGCAGCCTCTGCCACCTAGCTTTAAAAAAATCAATTAAAACAATCGATACATTCACACTCGCTCTTGGGCACCGGGTCGGGTGGGGGCGCAACCAGAATGCCTGTGTCAGCGTGTCCTGGCCAGCACATCTCTCCAACGCTGGCTGCCAGGGCTATTTCTTTGCAAAGAGGGTTTTCATTTGAGGCGAAATTGAAATCCCCCCTTCGCGCCTGCCTCCCGCCCTCCTGGTGGGAGAAACCCAAACAACCCTCATGGCGCCGAAATCTTTTCCGTGCGGACAAGCCCGCCCTGTGCGCACGAGTGGATGCTTGCTTGGCCAGCCTTTCTTGGGATCGACCCCGCTGTCTTGCGCAGCCCTCACCGCGTTCCCACCCCACCCCACTCCTCACAACTGGGGTTCCTGGCCAGCCTCGGAAGCCACAGAGAAATAGGATTCCGTGCGCCCGAGAGAACTTTTCCAGGGGCTAAGGAATCTGCCAGCCGGAGGCCCGAGAAAAGTTCTGGGAAGGCGGTTGCGCCTAGGACGGGTGGATGCCACGGGGCCTCCATCCAGGCTGCCCCGTCAGGACCGGTTGACTGGTCACCTTGGAATCTCTTTTGCAGGTGCCAGCGCCCCCCGGGAACCCGCAGCCCGTGGAGAGGGCGGGTCTCTCCCTGCATCTGGGGCGCAGCGCAGGGCACGCCTGAGGGTGGTCGACGGGGGCTGGGCACCGCCCCCAGTCATGCGCCGTCGGGGGTTGCGGAGGCGCTGCCCACCCCAGAGAGCCCTCGGCCTGGGGCTCCAGCGAAGCAAGTGTCTTCCCCGCGCCGGTCGCCAGGGGGGCGCGGGAGCAGCCAGATGCGCCGCAGCGCTGGGAAGGCGAAGGACAGGGGCGAGGGGAGTAAGGGGCGCTCGGCCGGCAGCCTCAGCCCCGGCCTTCGCTGGAGAAGGGACAGCGGGGGCCGCCCGTGGGGCCCCGGGGCACGGGGAACTGTCCGTTCAGCACTGGCGCCCGCCTCGCTCGCAGCAGAGGGCGGCACAGCCGGAGCCCTGGAAAGACTGGCCGCGCGGGCAGCCACCGGCTTCTCGGCCACTGCCTCCGGGACTCACGGGAAGCCGCCCCCCGCGCCTCCGCCGCCGCACTGCCGCCGCTGCAGAGGGGCGAGGAAATGAACTCACCGAGCTCTGGTCGCCGACAAGAGGAGCCCCAGACGCCGGCTCTCGCCCTGCCCGAGGCTGCAAAGTTGTGGGCTCGGCCCGGCTGGCTCGCAGCCTGCGCTTCGCGTCGGGAACTGGGCAGGTAGAGGGGATGTGGGGAGGAGGGAACCGGCAGCTGCTGGCTTCCCACTTGGGCGCCAGCGAGTAGGGGCCAGGAAGCGGCGGGGATGGCAGCTGGGCACCCCCCAGCCCCGACACCCCTCCCTCCTCTCCTGGGGGCGGTGCTCTGGCCGCCAGTCTCAGCATCGTGGATTTGCCCCCCCTCCCCTCTCGGTTCCCTTTGAGCGGGCTGGGGCGCCCTGCCTGGTTTCAGCCGCCCGTTCCAGCTGGGAGATTGGGATTCAGCCCTGATGTGGATGCTCCAGACATCACCCTGCCTTTCCCTCTCGGCTGTGTCCCACGACCTTCCCTGCTCTCCCCTTGGACTGAAGGGAACCCTGGGGGTTTGAGAGGTCAGCTTGCCAGGGCAACACCCATGAAGATCAGCGTCATCTCCTCGAAAGGGTTATGTACAGAGGGTTGGGAGTTGGGACTCTGGAGCCTGTCTACCTGGGTTTGACATTCACTACTGTGAGCTCTCAGATTCCAGTTTCTTCGTCTGTAAATTCCAGTGTGATCTTAGATTCTAGTTTCCTTATCTGTAAAATAGAGATATGAAGGTTAAATGACAATCTATGTAAAACCCTTAAACAGGGCCTGCCCAGGGCAAGCACTGCTTGATTAGATCATAATTAGAGACACTACTTATCTGGCCCCTACTAGGTAGCAGGAGATGTGCTAAGCCTTTAGCACAAGCTGCTTCCTTAATCCTCTCAGCCTGATCTGTGAAGCTGGCTGAGCCCCATTCTGGGGATGAGGAGGTTGAGGCTCAGAGAAGCTAAGTCGCATGTCTAAGGTCATTCAGCCATGAAGTGACAGAGTCTGGGCTTGAACCTGGTTCTAGCATGAATGCTGCTACTCTCAGCCTCCACACAACCCAGTATTGTCCTGGGACCCAGGGGCAGCTCTGATTTGGGAGAAAGAAAGGCAATGGGAGTTTATCCAGACAGAGAGCTTGAACTTGGAGCTTCTGCTTGGAGCCCCACCCCCACCTTCCTATTTCTATTTCCTTTCCCTTCCAGGGCTCCACTCTGCTAAGGTGAGTTCTATGAGGCACCAAGAGGGTAGTGACACCAGTGTGTATCAAACAGTGGGGGTGTGGGGGAGCAGAGAGAGCCTTAGAAATATCAAACACTGCAGGAATATTGGTGCCATCACTATCCTCAATTTCCTGGGTGTCATAGCTCACCTACCTGCCCTGTTCCACTCCTCTGGATGATGGCATACTTAATCAATAAATAATTGTTTATTGCTTTCTCAACTGGCTGATTAAAACAAGAGCAATCCTTTGAAATGAGAGCCATATGCTGATCAGCTCAGCCTCTATTCTTGAATCACCAGACACTGTTTTCTCTGTAATTTATCAGTGTACATCAAAATAAAAAAAGAGGCCAGGAAACCTTTTCACATTCTGAAAGGATCTTACATATAAGCGAAAGAACAGTATGCCACATGGTGGCCGTGAGCAGCTGGTAGCCTTGTGAGTTCCAGTGGCCACAGGACAGACACGGGGAAGCACACATGGCCCTTTTCCCTTCAGAGCAGCTTTGGATCATAATCGTGGCTGTCTGGGCCCCTTTTCACAAGCTCGGTCTGCCTCTCACATGGGCTTGACAGGGAGAGAGCCTGGGGTGCTCAGGTTTGGGTATACTGACTGAAGCTCTCCATTCCCCAAATACCTTGTGAGTCGGGTGATATTTCTAATTTTATTTTGCATATGGGTGTGAGGTGGGAAGGTGTGTGTCTGAATTTGTGTGTATGAGGAAAGGGAAAGAGAGAAAGAAGCTAAGCGAATGTGGGAAGATGTGAGTGGGGGAAGGGAGTATCAGCCAAGAAAAGAAAGGAGATCCGGCCGTGGAAATACACACGGACAAAGCCAGGTAAGAATTATTGCTTCAATCTAAAGCTAGTGGTTCCTCAGCCCTCCTTAAGGAATGGAGTGAAGGGAAGCACGCCAAATGCCATTTTGTTTTTCTAAGACATATGCTTATCCCTGACAAAATCAACAGGAAGGCAAAATCAATGTGAAAACCTCACTTGGATTCTGGCCCCATGAGTCAAACAGACTCTCATCGCCATTTACCAGCTGTGTGACCATAAACAAGTCACTTAACCTCTCTGCTCTCAGTATTCTCATTGTATAATAGGAATACAAATGCTGATGTTACTTTCTGGTGATGTTGATCAAATGGGTTCATGTAATTTAAGTGCCTTAGCGTCTCACACGTCCTCTTTAGGGCCCTTCTTTTCATCCATAGGACTCTCTTCTCTTTCCATCTAAAATGAGAGCCCCTTGCCTGTGTTGGAAATGTTTCGGGGTCTCTTCCATATTGCCTAATAGGATGATTTGCCCAGAGTCGACACTGAGTAAAAGTCTCTTGATTGATGAATTGCTACTGGTGTGTCTCTGAAAGGAAGAGCTATATTATGAGGTCTTTGAAATGTCTGGTGAGGGCTGGGTGCACTGGCACCCTTTAATCCCAACACTTTGGGAGGCTGAGGTGAGTGGATCACCTGAGGTCAGGGGTTTGAGACCAGCCTGGCCAGCATGGAAAACCCTGTCTCTACTAAAAATACAAAAATTAGCTGGGCACGGTGGCAGGTGCCAGTAATCCCAGCTACTCAGGAGAGTGAGGCAGGAGAATCCCTTGAACCCAGGAGGCAGAGGTTGCTGTGAGCTGAGACCACACCATTGCACTCCAGCCTGGGTGACAGAGGAAGACTCTGTCTCAAAAGAAAGAAAGAAAGAAAGAAAGAAAGAAAGAAAGAAAGAAAGAAAGAAAGAAAGAAAGAAAGAAAGAAAGAAAGAAAGAAAGAAAGAAAGAGGAAGGAAGGAAGGAAGGAAGGAAGGAAGGAAGGAAGGAAGGAAGGAAGGAAGGAAGGAAGGAAGGAAGGAAGGAAAGAAAGAAAAAGAAAGAAATGTCTGGTGAGGACACATTTGCCATTGATCTTGCAACCTGCCACCACCCACCCTGATTCTAATCTCATCCTCCATAAACAGTGACTGAAATAGTTTATAAACCACACTCTCCATTGTTCTTGTCGTAGATTTCTATAGTTAAGCTATGACTGTACCTGCAGGCAGTCCCATGGGGGCGGGGACACAGATAAGCATCTTGCTGTCCAGCCCTTTCCTGGAGATACGCACCCTCAATCTTGCTGTTTGGTGGTGTTATTTGAATAAAATGAATTCCCTTTCAAGTGAAAATTATTCCACTTTGCCTCAGAATGTTGTATTACAAGGAGAGAAATCCATGTAGCAAACAGCTTCTGCCTTGAGTGAGGAACCCCGCCTCCATGTCTGTCAGGCCGATGACGCCCCAAATGTTTTGGATGGAGACTATTCCAAGGTGCAAGGAGCTGCACCTAAGAAGGCTGGTGGAGATTTTCTTTCATTTTCATGCTCTTATTTCAGAGAGATCAAGGTGAAGCTAGGCCGGGGTCAGGATACTCTTTAGTGCTGACAGCAGGTCATAGCCAGAGCTAGCCACAGAGTGCTTCCCAAGCCTCAAAAGGCTTACTAAGATGCCGTCCCTGCCTGCCCAGATTTGGAAAACATGCAAGTGTAATCTTCATTTTAGCCAACTAAATTTGTGAAAATTGGATTATCGCAGAGTTTCTATCTGGAGGTGGTAATTTATTTTGCTAACTATGTCTTCACTTTACCAACGATAACGTTACTTCGATGTAATAAAGTGTTTTGCAGGCTACAAAGTACATCCACAAAATTAAAATTTCATCCCATGAATCTCCCTCAACAGCCTAAACTAGCTGAGGTCAGAATTCTCAAACCCATTTTTCTTATGAGGAAACTGAGGTTCAGAGATTTGCTGCATGTTCATTTGCAAGGCTTGTCTATGTTTGATTTGAAATATGATTTAATATGAAAAAACCCTCATCAATATTTAACTTTTCTGGAACATGTCAGTTGCATAAAGGAAGCAGATATATAACATATCTCCCCCAGAGTAACAGACCCAAAGGATCTCCCTTTACCTAAAACTGCTGTGCTCTGTACTCTGCAGCTGTCTACTCTGTCTTCAACAACATTTGTTACCACATGACAGCAATATATTTGTCTGTTTGCTGTCCGTCTCTCCCCACTGAAATCTCAACTTCATGAGAGCAGGATTTGAACTGCTTTGTTCACTGCTATATCCCCAGTGCCTATAACGGTATCTGGCACATAGTAGGTGCTCAGTAAACATTGGTTCAATGAATAAATACAGTATGCATAAGCCTGTAAGCCTGCAGCACATTAATCAAATGCCCTCAGGCACTCCGCTGTTTGTGGTGCTAAAGGAGGTGTGTGTGATTAGGGGCAGGGATGCTCAGCCTCCAAGCTCACATGTCAAGGTAGAAACTACAGGTCTCGGTGACAAGTAACCCAAGTGGTCTCCCAGTGATTGGTGCATTAGGATGGAAATCTTGGCTTGCTTGAGAAAGCCTCTTTTGCAGTATCTAGTCTTTGGAAGAAAGAATGAATGGGCTCTTTCACCAATTAGCCATGGGACTGCTTAGGCAGTCCTGGTAGGGATGCCTGTGCCTGTGGACAAGCAAGCACGCAGCCCTGTGGAAGTGGTGGCAGCATGATTAACTGGCCCTTTCATCTCAGAGCATGCAGGAGGCAGAGGGAGGAGAAAGAAGGGGTAGAGAGGGAGAGAGGAGGAGGGAGGGAGAAGGCAGAGGGGAGAAGAGAGAAAAGGAGAGAGGAAGGTGGAGAAAAGGGGGTAGTGAGAGGATGCTCACTTATGTGTCTGACACACCAAGTTTATGTCTTCATGATGGAGGAGGCTCAGGAGGAACAGGGCGAGATCAGCTGTCTCCATTGAGATCCCTGCAATGTCAGGTGTCCAGGATGGGAGGAATGAGGCAGAAGGTTGACATCTCAATTACAGGAGGAGGGGAGCGAGACCAAGGGAGTGAGGTCCCCGCAGTGCTCTTGGCTGTTTGGAGGCCTCTTAGATATGTTGTTCGAGTCACAGAGCAGCAGGCAGCATAA